GCGACGGATTGGGTCCTATTGATCCAAAGATGTACATAGAGGATCCCTATGGCGACGGATTGGGTCCTATTGATCCAGCGATGTACGAAGACCCATCTAGTGGTACCCCGGGAATCATAACTCTGAGTAATAAATATCAGCATATGAGAGACCCAATGGAAAGAAGGAACATCGAGCCTCATCAGAAGGAGTCACCAGATTTTAACGACAATCTAGAAAGGACAATTACTTCATCATCTTTGACACAGAAATTAATCAATAATAGATCGCTCCGTGCTAAGTGGAAGACAGCTGAGCAGATCGAAAGGCTTCAAGAAGAAGGACGATGTTTCCGATGCGAGCGGCCAAACTGTTCAGCCAAGCATTGCTTTCTATTACCGGCCATAAATCCAAATATCAGGAAGCTATATCCATCTTTTGGGAAGGAAGAGGCCCATAACAACGGTTCAGCACACAAGATCGTACACTCAGGTTTTGGTAAGACAGACGTCGTGGAACCGGTTATATTAAATGAAAAAGTTTCCGATACGTCAACAGTGGTTGGACATGAGCCAGATATAAACACGGATCCGTTTCTAGTTAATACACTTGTGAACGATGTTACAATGGTGCAAGCCTTAGTTGACAATGGATGCCTCTGTTCAGGAATTATTGATGAGGCACTCGCAGCTCAACTTAATCTACCGCTCAAGCCCATCTCTCCCAGAGCTCTTAAAACAGCAGAGGATTCATCAGAAGACAAACCAATCGTAAAAAGTATCACTTGGGTCTCTATAGATCTTGACGGCTACGTTACTGATGAGTTGTTGCTGTATGTAGTTCCACACAGTACTCATCCGATGATACTGGGTAAGAAGTGGTTAGAAGACCAGGATGCAATCATTCACTCCAAAGAACAGCGCCTGGAACTCAGAAGAAGCGGTGGTTCTGTTTACAGTGTTAAGCGCTGGCGGCACAAGTTTAGATCGATTAAGGAGCCGAAAGTTGCAGCTGTGGAGGCATTGTCTTGCCTTGAAAATGGAGTTCCGGTCTGCAAAGCTTCATTAGACGATATAAATAAGGCACTCCGTACGAAGACTTGCCTCAAGATCTCTGAAGCTCGAAACCGATTGCCGGACCCAGTGAAGAAATTTGCGCGCCTCTTTGCTGACGACAGCGGCGCTGATGATCTACCGCCGACGCGAGGTCACCTCGACCATGCCATAAACCTTAGACATGAAAATGGAAAATCAGTTCAACCACCATGGGGTCCTTTATACAGCATGTCGCGAGAGGAGCTACTGGTGTTGCGCAAGACGTTGACTGAACTTTTGGGTAAGGGATGGATTAGACCCAGTAGTTCGCCAGCGGCCTCGCCAGTCCTCTTTGCCAGGAAGCCGAACGGAGGGCTTAGATTTTGTGTGGATTACCGCGGGCTGAATGCAATTACCCTTCCAGATCGATATCCGCTTCCACTATTTAAAGAAACTTTGCGACAGCTATCGAAGGCTAGGTGGTTCACAAAGCTAGATGTGAAGTCAGCATTCCATCGTATCAGAGTGAGGGAGGGAGATGAGTGGATGACCGCTTTCAGGTGTCGCCATGGCCTTTTTGAATGGCTTGTTACACCATTTGGTCTTGCAAACGCACCTGCAACATTCCAGCGATACATCAATGAGCAGCTCCGAGGACACCTTGATGTTAATGCGACCGCATATATGGATGACATATTAGTCTATACAGATGGGAGCGAGGAAGACCACTGGAGGATAGTGCAAAGTGTCTTGGGCAAGCTAGAAAAGGCCGGCCTGTACTTGGACATAGATAAATGCGATTTTCTTTGTCGGGAAGTTAAGTACTTGGGATATATCGTCAGAGCTGGAGATTCGGTGACCGTAGACCCTGCAAAGGTTAAGAGTATTCTGGAATGGAAAGCGCCCACATCTGTAAAAGGAGTTCGCTCGTTTCTGGGGTTTGCAAATTTCTATCGATGTTTTGTGGATGGATTTTCAGAAATAACTGCACCGCTGACCAAATTGACGAAGAAGAATTCTGTTTGGAGATGGGGACCTGAGGAAAATGAGGCGTTTGAAAGACTGAAGAAGATATTTTCCACGGAGCCGGTGTTAGCGCAATGGGATCCTGAGCGGGACACGGTGATGGAAGCCGATTGTTCCGGCTATGCATTGGGTGGATGTCTTTCTCAAGTCGATAAGCATGGTCGACTAAGACCAGTGGCGTATTTTTCCAAGCGGCTGAGTGGAGCCGAAGCGAATTACCCGATACACGACAAAGAGATGCTGGCCATAATCACGTGCCTGCAAGAATGGAAAGCCGAGCTCCGATCAGTTGACAAGCCTTTCACAATACTGAGCGATCATAAAAATTTAGATTATTTCATGACCAAGCGATTACTCAATGAACGGCAGGCTAGGTATTACGACGTTCTGCAGCAGTTCAATTTCACTCTGAAATGGCGACCGGGCAACTCTTGCGAACGACCCGATGCTCTTTCAAGGCGTGATCAGGACAAGCCACACGGCATGAATGACGAACGAACCATGGGTAGGATTATGCAATTGTTACCAACGGTCAAAGCGTCACCTGTCGACGCACAAGTTAGTGCAGCAAATGAAACTTCGCTTCCTCATGTACCTACTAATGGAAGCTCAAATAATCCAACCCATCCTTCTACAGACCCAGCCGCACTAGCAAGAATATCTGACGACGACGAGATCCAGGCACTTTGGAACCAGGGAATTTATCACGATAAGGACTGGCGACGAGCTCGCGATGCTGTACAGCGCGGAGAGAGAAGTTTCCCACCAGAAATCGCTCAGAAATTAACCGCTAATATTGCAGAGTGTACGGTTGCCGCAGATAGCGTTCTTCGTGGAAGGGAAAATCGAATTTGGGTTCCCGATTACGAGCCACTCCGAACGGCGATAATGCAGAGAACGCACGATAGTTATCTAGCAGGACACCCTGGGAAAGACACAATGATTGGCATACTTTTGAGGCGATGGTTCTGGCCAAAGATGAGAGAGTCAGTCCGACGATTTATACGGAACTGTGATGTCTGCGGGAGAACAACAGTCTGGCGAGAGGCAAAGGCTGGGTTTATCAGATCACTGCCAATACCTGACCGGATAGGAAGCGAGCTTACCATTGATTTTGTGACAGATATGCCACCTTCACAGGACTGTACAAATATAATGGTCATAACGGATCGGCTATCTAAAGACGTCTTCTTGTTTGGGACAAATACAATGGAAGCTACACAATGCGCCAAACTTTTTATCGACAGATATTACCGTTACTTTGGCTTCCCTCGATACCTGACAAGTGATAGAGGCAGTGACTGGATAGGAACCTTTTGGCGAACGTTCTGCCAACTAACGGGAATAAGTCAACGCTTGACCACTGCGTACCATCCACAGTCGAATGCAAGCGAAAGAGCAAATCAGGAGTTGTACAAGTACCTGCGCGCATTCACCTGCTATTCACAAGACAATTGGATGGAACTGTTGCCTGTAGCCCAACTGGCATTAAACTCACGACCGAGCTCAGCGATTGGGGGACTGAGTCCGTTTTTCCTTCGACATGGATATGATTTAGAACCTCTGACAGAACCTACGCCCACCTTAGAAAATAGTTCCCGACATCCAGGACGGCTATCTGCCCAGGACTACGTAAAACGGTTAAGAGATGCACAAGACTTTGCACAGGCAGCGATGGCTTCAGCCCAGCAGCGAAACGAGGTGAATGCAAATCGGTTTCGGAGACAACCAGATAAATTCAAAGTTGGTGACAAGGTTTGGCTAGATCTCCGGAATGTGAAAACGCCTCAACTATCTAAGAAGCTAGCCTGGCTTCATGCGAAGTACGATGTGACCGCAGTTCCAGACCCTTTAACTGTAGAGTTGAATGTCCCAGGGAATATCCACAACCGCTTTCATGTTGAGCTGATAAAGCGAGCAGGTGTGGATCCCTTTCCGAGTCAGCAGCGGGACGATGCTCAAAATCCGGCTATTCTTGACGACCTGGGGGAGAAAGAATACGAAATCGACTCTATAATACGGGCAAGAACAGTGAGACGTGGACGTGGTAGTTTCAGGCAAGCTCTAGTAAAGTGGACTGGATGGGCAGAGTCAACATGGGAACCAGTTGAGTACGTCGCAGACACAGAGGCTCTAAAGATATTTGAGGACACCTACGGTCCTATAACTATAAATAATGGCCCTTCAGAGAGTAACTCGGGCAGATACGTTGGTCAGGCTGAGCCTCACATCCAAAAAACGCGGAGGGAACGCCGAGTAAAAAAAAAAATATTATAAAAAAAAATCATATATAATTTAATAAGTAAAATATCTTCCCCTTCAGGAAGAGAAGGGGGATTGTAACGGCTGTTAAGCCTAGGGATTCCTGTAGCCTACGCTGGCTAGCGCAGGCAATGAATGCAAGGGAATCTTCGGGAAGGATCTCGGAATACAAGGAGCTTAGAAGATTCTCAATGAACTTTCTGGAAGCATACTGAAGGTTCATGAGAACCACAGGTGTATCAAGAATCTTTTAGGGTATTGTCGAGGATTCCATGTTATTCCAGATATAGGGAGAACCTTACAGAAGAGGGGTATCTCAGAGTGTATATATATTTGTATTCTAGCTATAGGAATTCTCTCTCTAGAGAATTATAATTAATATACTGTACTTACAAGATCGCCCAAGCATTTTGTACTGAAACCGTGACATTGATGGGTCAAAAAACTATTGTTGTCACATTACAAAAGTGGGTAGAGGTAAGTTTAAATAGAGTAGTGGAATTGCTTTCTTGTTTTCTGGTACTGAGAATCACGGCTTTTGATACACATACTTTCTTCCATAGCTTTCAACATTTAAAGTACCGAAGTCTCATTCCCCTCTGAACCATCCCAATAGTTTTCTCCTCATTCTATTCTATACCACTCTAGTCTGAAAATTTTGCTGATCAAATATTGCGTCTCTAAAGTTCACACTAATGTTTAGTCCAGAATTCCGTTAAATTGAGGCTCCTCCGTTGTTGGATAACAAGTTAAGAATTGGTTTGTGACACGAGCCTCTAGAGAAAGAATTTCCTTCAAATAGTTAATTGACACATCAAATTGAATATTGATGGGTACTAAAGATATTATTTAGTAGAAAATAAAGTTTTTTGGAATGAAACTTCATACCTCCTTCTCTCCATAAGACTATACTAAAAACTCTTGAAGCGAGTATTTCTTGTCTCATTAATCTTCTACTTTGATTGCTTCGTACACTTGCATATGCCTTTTCTATCTGATCATTTAAGGTAACCGGCCCAATGACCCTGTCCTCACACTTGTAACTTGAAGCGTTCGCGACAATGGAAGTGGCAGTAAGAACGCCATGCCCAACGGCAGATGGAAGCATTAGATAATTTAAAATAGCCGCCAGTGACATAAGACTGAAAGTTCTCATATTGCAGCTGTTGTGTTTAATAAATATTGCTCATTTATTGGTGGGGTGACCTGATTTGTCTATAGTTTTGATGTCGTAGACTGATCGGATTTTAACCAGAAATGAGCAGTAAGACCTGTGTGAGAGTGTGAAGTAGTTTCTTCGGGTTATATTGGAAGCTGTGACGAGACTTGTAAACTAGAGATGGTATGGAATTGGGAATAATCTCTCTTAGACACATGGCGTGATGATTAATTCCGATGTCTAAAAGGAGCTTGCCACACATCTCTCAATAAGTTCTTGCTCGCGCATCTGAAATCCTCAGTCGAGTTATTCTGGCCCTAGATTGAAAGGAAAGGGCTTGCTCGATTTGAAATGTAGAAAACTAGGCAGGGACATGTATTAAGGGATGGTATGTGTGCTAGCGGTTGCTATTTTCATTGGCAGGATCATAGCAGAGTTCCGTCATACGTCAAAGTCATCTAAGTATTAATGGGATGTTGTAATTTGGAGCGGTCCTAGCGGCCTACGCCATGAAGGATGGTGCCCACCCGTCTCGCTTTAGAATAGAAGAGGCAGAGGAACTAGATTGATTGACGATAATAGACTCTGAACAGCTGGGCAAGAAGAATCCCCCACATCTGGTCTCATCAACTCATTTGTAATTTAAAGCCTTGGCATAAACCTATAGTAATAATATACCAAGACCTCCGGTATTATCTTCTTCTCCAGTCTAGGATTAGATTTTCTAGCTAGATGTAGATGGTGTTATCTCTCACTGTCTAGATGAATCACATTTGAAGTAAACAAGATTAAATCTATTAAATGTAATTTCAAGATCAATATTTTTCCTCGCCAAAAACGTATACTAGCCTTGAGCATACACTTTACTCGGTCGAATAATGGATTGGTTACTGCAGGGGTTGAATTTTGTGTTGGTCTAATTAATATCTAGTATTGTATTTGGAATGGAAGCAGCAGCGGTTCTGTCCTCCATGGAATCCAACCAGTCGTTCATCTGCCGATGAGATGGAGCATGCAAAATTCTTGTATCACAACTATTTGTCAGAGACTCTGTAAATACTCAGACTATCTCGAAATTTACTTCAACTTCAGGACATTGGAAGGTTCAGACTCTCTCAGCAAATCAAATAAGCTGCTATTACGGGTACCATTTGATAACAGGTACAATAGGCTGAGCTACTGGCCTAGTCTTGTCATTGTTAGAGTATAGAGAAGACTTCGGAGTAAGAATTGCCTGAGAACGGAGAAGAAGTTCAGTTTGCTTAATTTACTAATAGACTACAGGTATTATGATATATACAGTGGAATTATAAGAAATAGAGGTTACCCGGAACCGACTCGACTGCATAAATAAGTGGGACCCCGTACCAGAAAATAATTATCCACTGACTGAGAATACTGGGTCACGCAATAGAAGTACGAACAAACCAATGACTGGATTTGTTCGGGAAGAATGGGATTCAAGCAGACTCTAACGTTGAGTCCGATTGGATCAGAAATGTGGGATCCTGCCCGAACTCAGAAATATAGTTCAGGCAAGATGCATGCAACCATATGGGTCGATAGAAAGAAAAGCAGGAAACTGTATTTCCAACACTCCTCCTGATCAATGCGGTGAATGCGAGAATGCTATACCATCTGAAAAATCCTTTCAATTAGTGGTTTAGCTTTTTGCTGCGGAAGAGGTTTAGTTAGAATATCCGCCAGCATAGAAGTTGTAGGTATGTAAGACACCTTTATGTTTCCATTAAGAATACATTCCCTAACGAAGTGATAAGCAACATCAATGTGCTTAGTTTTAGAAGAATTGGTCCCTTTCGCAATCGCAAGTGCACCCTGGTTATCAGAAAAGGTGAGAATACCATCATCGTGTATGAGCTCGCTCACATGTAGCTCCTTTAGAAACCTAGAAAACCAAATCGCCTGCTTAGCAGCTTCAGACAAGGCTACATATTCAGCTTCAGTGGTTGAGGTTGATACCGATTTTTGTTTTCGCGATTGCCAACACACAGGACCGCCACCAAGCATGAGAAGAAAAGCGCTTACTGACCGACGAGTTGTAACATCAGAAGCATAATCCGAGTCGGAAAATAAGCATGCAGCTTGGTTGGTGGTAAGAATTTGTGAAGAGGGACCGAAGCTGTAAGTAATACAGTAGTTTGAAGAGCCTTTAAGATATCGAAATACTCTACAAACACTATTCCAGTGGCGCTGTACTGGATTTGAGTTGTATGCGCCAAGTTGGGAGGTGGCAAAAGAAATATCTGGCCGAGTTCCAATAGATGCGTATCCAAGGCTGCCTACCGCGCTAGCATAGGCGGAATCGTCCGCCAGATGTTCTCCCTCTGCCTGCGGAAGAATGCCACCATACCCATCGAGGGGAGAAGAATAGGATTTTGAATCACTAAGCCCAAGAGAATTAATCTTGTCTAGTAAGTAGCTGGACTGTGATATATGAAGAGTACGAGTTGGGCGCTCGCGAAGAATTTTCCACCCAATGATACTGTCGATCTCACCAAGATCTTTGACAGGAAAGAAAGAAGAAAGTTTGGCCTTGACAATTTTAACATCATCAAGTTGCTTGCCGCAAATTACCAAGTCGTCAACATATACACCTATAACCATTTGGTATATTTTGTGGATGTAAACACAGTGATCGCAGGTAGACTTTTCGAACTCAAGAGAAAGAAGTTTAGAGTCTAATTTATCATACCAGGCTTTTCCAGACTGTTTTAATCCATATAGGGCCTTGTTGATTTTAAGAAAACCGCTCACGTTCCATCCCTGAGGCGATTTCATGTATATAGGCTCTTGAATATCGCCCTCGAGATAGGCTGTTTTGATGTCAATTTGGTGAATTTCCCAATCGCGGTAAGTAGAAATTGCGAGTAGTATTCGGAGAGAATCTAAACGCAGAGTTGGTGAATAGGTATCGAAATAATCGACACCAGGAATTTGGTTAAAGCCTTGAGCAACTAGTCGGGCCTTGAACCTACCATCAGATTTGACGGTGAAAACCCATCGCGAGCCAATAGCTCTCCTCTTATGAGGAACATGGGTTACTGAAGTAAATACTCCCTTTTGGGAGAGAGAATCAAGCTCCTCCTGAATTGCCATCTCCCACATGGCCTTATCAGGTCCGTTGATGGCTTCAGAGTAAGATTGTGGGATCGAAGTATCTCCACCAACGTAAAGAATAGGAGACTTGGGTTGCCATGCAGATCGTGGCTCAATAGGTTTAGAGATCCTATTGCTCCTCCTGAGCGGAGGAAGGTTAGAAGTAATAGAACTAGGGGTAGTCTGGATTTGATTAACACCCTGAGAAATTTCTGCAGAAGAATAGGGAGTTGGAGTCGAAGAAGATGGATCGGGTTGCACAGACGTAGAAGTAAAAGAATCTGGCTCAGTAATAGAATGATGACAAGCAGTCTGGCGACAAAGTATTTGATCCTGAGAAAGTGTATTCCGAAAAGTAGGCGGGTCAACATGAGAAGAATTTTGCTCCAAAGTTGCAGTAGGTATGTTGACACTAGGGAAAGAATTTTTTTGATCAGTGGTCTCTTGGGGATCCAAGGGACGAGAAGAAGAAGGGAGAAAAGAAGGATCAGGAAAGGATGGCACGCCTGAGTCTGAGTCAGAGCTGTCGTAAGAATTTTCGGAATGAGAAGAGGTAGGATTGTCATCAAGGGGACCTTCGATCTCGCCGAATTGCTCAGATGAAGTTTGGCCCCAATCCCAGAAAGTGTCTTCAAGAAAACGAACGTTTGCCGAAATAATGATTTTATTTCTTCCGGCCTTTGAAGGAACGTAGATGCGATATTGCGTGGAAGATTCGCAATAACCAATAAAGATGCCCCGTAGCGAAGTTGGGGAGAGTTTAGATCTTTGAGGATCTTTTTCATTGATTAAAGAGTAGCAAACGCAGCCCCACACACGAAAGTGTGAGATAGTTGGCTTGGAACCGCGCAGCAACTCGAAAGGTGTTTTCTTGCCTTCAAGGAGAGGAAGTCGGTTTCGGATGTAGCAAGCTGTCGAGATAGCAGCGTCCCAGAATCGAACAGGAAGATGAGCATGTGATAGCATACACCTAGCCATAGTTACTAGGGTCCTGTTTAAGCGTTCAGAAACACCGTTCTGATGTTGAGTATAGGGAGCTGAAATTTGGCGTGTTATTCCAGTAAAATTTATTAGCTTGTACTCGCTACCACCATCAGTCCGAAGAGCCTTGATTTTATGACCAGTCAGAAGCTCTATAGAATCCCTATAGATGGAGAAGTGACCTGGTACTTCATTTAGACCTTTGAGTAGAAAAATTTCGCTAAAACGAGAGAAGTCGTCAGTAAAACTGACAAAGAAAGAACTTCCGGAAATTCCCACATGTCGACACTTTCCCCAAGTGTCAGAATGCACAAGCTGTAGTGTTTGATCTGACTTATTGCATGGACCGCGATTAATCTTCTCAACATGTTTGCAAGAAAGACAGACGTCGCAGTTACCCAGAGATTTAGGACAGATATTTAGTTTCGAAAATTTCTGTGATTTTAAATTAGGTAGTTTAACTAGTGAAATATCGACCTTTGAGAGAATCTGGGGGCTGACGTGAGCAAAACGATGGTGTAAAAGGCGATTAGCGTCCATGTTAGATACAATTGTGAGTAGTCCCTGGTTGATATCCGAAGCGAGTGTGAGGTCCTCGGGTTGAGAAGAAAGAGGACAAGAAAATGTAGGACGAGAAGAACTAAGAACAGCAGGAGGAGAAATTACATTGAAATGAAATAAGCCATTCCTTAAACGAGCGGTTGCAGTGAGACGACCTTTAGCTTCAAATATGCCAATCCCACTGTTAGAAAACCGCATTTTGTAACCTGCAGAAAGAATTTGAGAGCCAGAAACAAGATTTTTTGTACAAGAAGGAAGATACCAGACGTTTTCTAGCTTCATAGTACGAGAACAAGATGAATCGAGATAATTTCCCAAAGAAATTTCCACAGAGCCGA